GCGAGCTGAGCAAGTTCAGGATTGGATGGTTTAGGTAATTTTCGGCAGGCTCTGGGCTATGTGGGTGGTCCCTGGTTGTCTGGTACCAGGCCCTGGAGGAGTAGTGTCCTGTACTGTAGAAACCTGATAAAAGGAGGTTAATGGGGCTTGTGGACTCAGGATTGGTTGGTTTGCATAGCAAAGGCATGCTCCTGGGCACGTCATTTACCATTTCTAGGAATTAGCTAAACCTGGGAGGGGGCATCCCTTCTACAACCCGTCTGCAAGGCCCCAAGATGTCAGTGCCTCGTACAGTACTGAACGTAAGAAACGTGGTAAGTATACTACCCAACGCCCATTATCCTTTCTGCATTCACAGACTCCATGTGTTACTGGGGGTGAGTGTGCAGCTGAAATGCCGCATTCCTAATCTCCCTTGCGGTCAAGGGTTGCTAAGGGTGCCAGCAGAAATAGTTTGGAACGTTCCTCAGTGAGCTCACTCCTGTTGGAGCCTCATGCTTGGCGCTTCTCCGGACCCTCATCTGGCTTTTTTCTTTTTTTTTTTTATCCTTACCCGAGGATATTTTTCCATTTTTTGTACAGATAGAGTGGGAGGGAGAGAGAGAGAGAAACATCGACGTGAAGGGACACATCGAGTGGCTGCCACCCGCACGACCAACCAGGGCCGGGGACAAACTGCAACCGAGGTACGTGCCCTTAGCGGGAACCGAACCCGGGTCTCTCCGGACCGCAGACCGATGCTCTAACCGCTGAGCCAAACTGGCCAGGGCTGGCTTTTTTCTTTGGTCTGAAATGTGAACATGACGACAGAATCTCCACTAGCCATCTCGGACCATGAGACGAGCTTCAGGATGGAAGACGGAAGAAGCTGGGGTCTGAGGACGTGGAGCCACCGCGCCGGTCCTGGCCGTCTACCGCCGGGTTTCTCCGGGAGACACACATCTCCGCCTTGTTTAAGCCGCTTCTTTGTGCTTTGTAGTTAAACCCAGTCCTTAGGAATTTCCACATTTTTACCTTTATTCCCATATACATGGTCAGTTCTTTAGCCTTATGCTTTCTCTTAGGTGACCTTCCCCGATAAGTAGAAGTGTGATCTTACCTCTGCTCCGACGGTCCTTCAGGCTTTTGACCTATGTCTCACTTTAAGTTTGGGGAGGTAACTGGGACATAAAATGGACACAAAAACAGCAATAGCCTGAAAGAGTGAATATAAGCACATTGATTTTCATCAAATAAATAGTTTAGTTTTGCTTGTAGTTGCTGGTGAGGACCCTTCATTAACAGCCCATTAAAGGAGACCTTAGGTGAAGAGGGGAGGTCGCCTTAAGGCCAGATCACGGGAGGGAGGGGCTTCCAGGGCAGAATAACCGGGTCCCAAGTACAATCACTGGGGTCTTAGCTCGGCCGCCACAGCAAAATTCCATGGCCCTGGTGGCTGAAACGACGTTTATTTTCTAACTATCCGAAGGTTCAAGTTCGAGAGGAGGTGCCGGCATCGCGGTTTCTGTGGGGAGGCCTGTTTCCAGCGTGTAGGTGGCTCACTGTGCTGTGCACTCACATGACCTGTGTGCTGGCAGGGAGGGCTCCTCCATGTCTCTGTAAAGGACACTAGTCCTGTCCCATCCAGATCCCACCCTTATGACCTCACTTAGCTTACTGTCCCCTCCACATACAGTCAACGTTGGGGGTTGGGACCTCCACCTGGGAATTCTGAGGAGACACGATTCAGTGCATACCACCGGGCTTGCAGGAAGAAAGGGACCTGCAGTGACAAGTTTTGAACTAGGAGCTGAAATTAGAGTCGTTAGGAGGAAACACTGAGAAAAAGCAGGGTTCCATGGAAACAGGTACTGATCTTGACATCGTGGTTTGGAAACTTAATGCTCTGGTGGGCAAGTGTCCATTGGCACTTCCTTTTGAGAAAACATTTTGGCATTAACTTGCAATGTTGAGATTTTACCTAGTCCTTCCACCTTTAAGGTACACCCTGTAGGAAACGTGCCCATGTGGCCCAAGACTCCGGACCAAGGGTATATATGGCAACAATGCACATAATAGTACAAAACTGGAAACAACCCAGAGATTCATCAATGGAGGATGGGTGCCTGTCTGCTCACACAGTGGACTATTACACAGTAGTGTAAATGGATTGCCGCTATTGCTGTAACCAGGATAACTTTCAGAAACCGTGATGAGTCAAGTGGTAGGTTACAGGAGATATTGGTGCAGCATGTTATTTTTAAAAAGGTTAACATCAAACAGGAATAAGCAATATGTTTATGGATAGACACCTATATGGTAAAACTATTCAAAAGGGAAGGAATGATAACTGTAAAATTCAAGATGAGTTGCCATAGGAAACAGGCAAGGCTCAAGGGGTAGGACAGAAGCGGATAGGGGGGTATGCAGTGGTACTATGGTGGTTTTACTCCTTAAGTTGGGTGGGGAGGCTATGGAGGCTTATTTTCTTTGCTGTATAACTCACATATATGTAGCATGTAATTTATATGTATTAAATTCTACATTAAACAAATAGAAGTGCCCATTAAAATACCCCAAGTATAGATGATGTATAGTGTGATGACCCCGTTAATGCTGCTGATGACAATAGCTAACACTTAAAGAACACTTTTGCTTTATACGTTTTATAGGCACAGTATTGTTTAATCACTGTAACAACTCTATAAAATCTGTACTATTATTATGCCTGTTTTACAGATGAGCAAACTGAGGTGTAGAGAGATTAACTTACCTAAGGTCACAGAACTAATGAACAGTGGCACTCAGATCCAAATCCAGGTCTGACTCCAGAACTCAGGCCCTTAAACCATTAATTTATATTGACTGTCTGGTCCCTCCTCATTTGATTTATTTGGAACCCGAGGTTCAGAAAGGTCAAGAAATTTGCCTACTGTCACTTAGTTAGCATAAAGTGTTGCTAGGGCAAGGATGCCAGTATCCTAGGTTACGATCTTCTAGGGCAGCGGTTCTCAACCTGGGGGTCGAACGACCCTTTCACAGGGGTTGCCTAAGATATAACAGCAAAATTACAGTTATGAAGTAGCAACAAAAATAATTTTATGGTTGAGGGTCGCCACAACATGAGGAACTGTATTAAAGGATGGTGGCATCAGGAAGGTTGAGAACCACTGTTCTAGGGTTCTTCCAATTTGCCATGGTGGCAGATGAGGAGTAATGTTGAAAGTGTAATAGGGGACCCAGAGGGTTGTATGGGTCTCATGAAACACCTGTTGGTTTGAGCTGCATCCCATGATTTGAGAATTTATGGGGGTCATCAGGCGCCAGAGCAGACGAAGCCATGGGATACAAGAGAAAAGGGATCTACGACCTTGTCCCTGACCTAATGTTATTGCTCAAGGTCCTGTTTCTTTCCTTCTGTTTGTTGAGGTGTCATCAATAGGTGATCTCTGAGGTCTTTAGTTGAGGCAATGCATGTTGAAGCCCAGGTACCTGGGTAAGAATCCCTGCTCTGCTGCCTACTAACTCCATGAGCATTTCCCAGCCTTAGTGTCCTCCCCTTAAAAAATGAGGTTGCCCTGGCCAGTGTGGCTCACTGGTTGAGCACTGACCCATGCACCAAGAAGTCACCAGTTGGATTCCGGTCAGGGCACATGCCCGGGTTTCGAGCTCGATCCCCAGTGTGGGGCATGCAGGAGGCGACCAACTGATGTTTCTCTCTCATCGATATTTCTATTTCTCTCTCTCCCTCTCCCTTCCTCTCTCTCTAAAATCAATAAAGAAAAAAAAAAATTTGTAAGGCACTGTTTTAGAGAAATAAGCCTTTACTTGACAAAGTGATATCTGTCAGCTTAACTACTTGTCAGTACGGGGTAGGCAAAAGTAGGGTTACAGTTGTTTGTATGGAAAAAGACGTGTAAGTTATGATTATTGCAATAGCTTTGTTAACTCAGAAGAATGTCACAGTGGCACAGTGCACTGAGGTACAACCTCGTAAGTGCTTGATTGGCCGACCTCATTATTCACACATTCTCGTAGTCTGAAAATCTGGAAACTAACCTGGGTTTCAGTGACCTGCTTGGCTTACTCTGCCCAACCCTGTACAGTGTCCATGCACTCTGAGAAATTCATATTTTGAATAGCTTATATGCTATACTCCCTTATTGCTGTCATTTACCTTTTCAGATAGCTAGGGTTTCTGATAATGTGGCTTATTGGGGAGGGACTTGGGGGCCCCCCAACTAAGGCACACCCCAAGAGGCACAGCAGTGGCACCAACTGAACTTTTTCTCTTTAAAATGTATTTTTTTTCTTTATTGATTTGAGAGAGGAAGGGAGAGGGAGAGAGAGAGAGAAACATCCATGAGAGAGAACATCAACTGGCCACCTCCTGCATGCCCCCCACTGGGGATCAGGCCCACAACCTGGGCATGTGCCCTGACTAGGAATCAAACCGGTGACCTCTTGGTGCGTGGGTCGATGCTCGACCACTGAGCCACACCGGCCAGGCGAACTTTTCTATTTATGGACTTGAGCCCCCCTCCAGGGTGACTGGTGGCGCCTTATGGTGCAGTTCTGGTAATGGTCCTTTCTGTGTGTGTCCCGAGTCCTCCCTCTTGATTGTTTATGTGACTCCTTGGCGACACACACTCTTCTGTTCTGGGTGGCTCAGAACCCCACTCCCTTTGAAATTCAGTCCCTGTCCTCCATCTTCGTGGCTAATCTCTTCCTTCTCCGGGTGACACTGGACACCACTCTGTTTGCATATTGGCAAAGAGCGGCTAAGTTTAGATCATAGATGGGACGTGACAATCCATGTCATCTGTGAAGAGGACGGACTAACCTGAAAGAGCCAGAGAGCGTTCAGTAAACTGCTCTACAACAGACTCAACCGGGAAGAGCCGAGAGACAGGCACAGTGAAGCCGGTGGAGGCGGCGGACTCACAGGGAGACCTTGCCAATCAGCGAGGAGATCATACACCAACAGAAAGGACAGAGGTCAGATCTGCCGAATAGCTGGCATGTCAGAACGCGCCAAGTGGGTGATACTGTTTCTTTCCGTCACTCAGTTAATTCTGGGGATGCTGGGGAATGGTTTCATTGGGTTGGTCAATGGCAGCAGCTGGTTCAAAAGCAAGAGAATCTCTTTGTCTGACTTCATCATCACTAACCTGGCTCTCTCCAGGATTGTTCTGCTGTGGATTCTCATGGCTGATAGTGTAATAAAGATGTTCCTATTCAAACTATATGATGATAGGGTCGTGGTGCAGGTTATTGACTTGTTCTGGACATTCACAAACCATCTGAGCATCTGGCTTGCTACCTGTCTTGGTGTCCTCTACTGCCTGAAAATTGCCAGTTTCTCCCACCCCACATTCCTCTGGCTCAAGTGGAGAGTGTCCAGGGTGGTCGTATGGATGCTGTTGGGTGCACTGTTCTTTGCCTGTGGCAGTGCCGTATCTCTGGTTCGTGAATTTAAGATCTATTCTGTTCTCCGTGCAGCCGATGCCACCGGGAATGTGACCAAGCTCTTTAGAAAGCAAATGAATGAATATGAGCTGATCCATGTTCTTGGGCTGCTGTGGTATCTCCCTCCCATAATCGTGTCTCTGGCCTCCTACATCCTGCTCATCCTCTCCCTGGGGAGGCACACGCGGCGGATGCAGCGGAACAGAGCCAGCCCCAGTGACCCCAGCACGGAGGCCCACAAGCGGGCCATCAAAATGATCCTCTCCTTCCTCTTTCTCTTCGTGCTTTACTTTCTTGCCTTTTTAATTACGGCATCCAGTTATTTCCTACCAGGAAGTGAGATGACGAATATGATTGGAGAAGTAATTACAATGTTTTATCCTGCCAGCCACTCGTTTATTCTCATTCTGGGAAACATGAAGCTGAAGCATATATTTCTGGACCTGCTCCGGTGTGAGTCTGGTCATCTGAAGAAGCCTGGGCCAAAGGGATCTCTTTCCCCATAGAACGGCAAGGGGGACAGGAGGCAGCCGGGGGTCCTTCAGCCTGGCTCAAGACTACGGGGCTCTTCCTGACCTCCCGTGGCCCCTGTCCCACCCGGGGACACTTCTCATGGCCTCTCCTCATTTGCTTGGTTGCTTTGGAGACTGTAAACAGCCTTTGGGAAATGGCCATATAGCAAGAACACTCTCACTGTATATGGAGTTGTATGTCAATAACCATGAGCTCAATGTCATGAGCTGATGACTAGCTTTAATGTAAAGTGTACAGTGACATTGATATGCTTTTATAAATAAAACAGCAGCTCCCCAGACATGGGTTTGACCTCTGGTTCTGTCCGTTTTCCAAGACTTTTGGCCTTGGGTGAGTTACTGCAATCACCTGTCTGATCTTCTCGTCCCTCATTATAAAATGTGGACTATGACATTCCCGCACAGGGTTTTAGAGATTCATCAGACCATGTGTGGCAACACTGTAGCTCAGCGTGTTGTATAAAGTGCTCAGCAGGGGAAGCTCTTATTGTAATGAACAAGGAGCTGTGCAGCCGTTCCAGCAAGATACCACAGACCCACTGTGGTGACAGATGCCGTGGAGTGACAGTCAGGACCCTTGGATACTAGGTTCCAGTCCGGTCTCCCAGTGGTGAAGTCATTTTCCTTCCATTTCCATCCCCCTTGCATTCCTTTGCCATTTTTGCTAAAGTAAATGTTCAAATAATTAAACTTTTTTTTTTTTTTTTTTACATGGGACAAAAGTCCAAGCATTTTCTTTTTCTTTTTTTTTTTTATCCTCACCCGAGGACATTTTTTGTTCAGATAGAGAGGGAGGGAGAGAGAGGAAGAGAGAGAGAGAGAGAAACATCGACGTGAAAGGGACACATCGAGTGGCTGCCACCCGCACGACCAACCAGGGCCGGGGACAAACTGCAACCGAGGTACATGCCCTTAGCGGGAACCGAACCTGGGTCTCTCCGGACCGCAGGCCGACGCTCTAACCGCTGAGCCAAACTGGTCAGGGCCCAAGCATTTTCTTAAACAACTTAAGGTGGGTTTCTGCTTTTAAAATTTCAGAGTTTTATTGAAAACATAACATAAGCAGTTTTTATACGTTTAATCACTTTCATTTTAGTAAAATCACATAAGCATTGATTTACTTCCTATCACTGAACAGTGGCGGCACGTCAATGAGAATATCATTGCTTAAGATCATGAAGAATCCTCAAACTGTGAACATACTCAGGACACAGGGCAGTCCTGAATCTGGGTTTCTTTGCTAATGGGGCTGCCCGGTGTGGAGCCGCTGTGGAATGTGGGTCCTGAGAGCCTGCCCCTGCCCCTTATAAACTAGGTGACTTCTGGGAAGTTCCTGAACCTCTGTCGATTTCACTTTCCTTGTTGGTAAAACAGGAATAGTATTTTTCTGGTAGAGTTGCTGGAAGGAATGAATGTGTTAACAACATGAAAAATGCTTTGAGCCCCCCCCCCCCCCCCCCGGAGTAAAACCACTCAATAAAGATTGCTGTTGTTATTGTTGCTATTTTGTTCTATTTTGACATAGCGCCAAGGATCACCACATTACCTGGCATTTGGTCATATGTAACCAGAAGTCAAGTTTAGGATTGTGCTGGGATTCATGTTTGTATTTCTGAGATTACAGGAATAAAAAGGCTTCTGGTCCGCACTGTTTGCTTTCAAAGTGATGCGTGCCTCTTGAAGCCGCTGGGGGAGCGCGTCATTCCGACTCATGATTCCCTTTCAAAAAAGCATCTGTTGAAACTTAAAAGAATGATTTCATGTGCATTCCTAATTTACCAAAATAGAAGGATTCTGAAACGAGTCTTTCTGTAATTAGTCAGAATCTGTGCTTCTGCTCAGCACGGGGCAGTTTAGCCATGGAGACCCATGCTGTCTCGACCGCATCTGCTTCGTCACCCTGGCCAGCCCCTGCTCCTGAGTTCATCCGCACCCGCCTTGGTCCCTTGTCCCTATTTTCTGTCACTCTGACAACTTCTCTGCCTAGCCCCGACCTTCTGGTTCTTCAGCTCGTACCTGAATTCCTGGTTCTGCCTCTTGCCTCAAGCGTGGGATTTTCCTCTCTTTTTTTTTCCTTCACCCGAGGGCATTTTCCCATTTTTTGTTCAGATAGAGTGCGAGGAAAGGAGGGAGGGAGGGAGAGAGAGAGAGAGAGAGAGAGAAACCTTGACGTGAAAGGGACATATCCAGTGGCTACCACCCACATGACCAACCAGGGCCAGGGCCAAACTGCAACCGAGGTACGTGCCCTTAGTGGGAACCAAACCCAGGTCTCTCTGGACCGCAGGCCAACGCTCTAACCGCTGAGCCAAACCGGCCAGGGCTCCTCTCTTTTTATTTATTTATTTCTTTATTGATTTTAGAGAAAGAGGAAGGGAGAGGGAGAGAGAATTAGAAACATCAATGAGAGAGAACATCAATTGGCCGTCTCCTGCATGCCCCCCACTGGGGATCGGGCCCACAACCTGGGCATGTGCCCTGACCGGGAATCCAACCGGTGACCTCTTGGTGCCACTGAGCCACACCAGCTGGGTAGATTTCCCTCTCTTTTAATGGAACATAACATTTTGCTAGAGATTTGGGGTTCGCTGTTGTTTGGTCCTTGGTGCCTTTGGCTAGCTTCTGAAGGTTCCGTCCTGTCTGTTTCCGCTGTGGCTCTGTGAAACCCCACACCAACCTAGCAGATTCAGATGTGGGGCAGTGAGCACAGACGTTACCCCTGCTGTCCGTCCTCTGGAGCAGAGCATGGCTGGAGAACCCGCTGACAGTGCCAGTCCTCCCTGAGTCTCGGGGGGAATTTCCGAACTCCTGCCCCAGGCCCAGCTTTGCGATACCCTGGATGGGGCCATCTTGTTTCTTTTGTTTTGCTTTCAATGAATTAACTTGGGTTGCTAAACCCCTTGAAGCTCTTAGGTCTAGTTGTTTGCAACACCAGAGACCAAAGCATGGCTTTTCCTCCACCAAAACCAGGCTCCTTGGTCAGAGCATGAGAATTGTCCGTGCACTTGGAGTCCAGTGATATGTTAGAGCGTGTTCCTATGGCCCCGGGTGCCCTCCAAACACATGTATTCTGTGGTGTATTGTGAGGACTTGAACGTGTGACTCAGTAGGAATTTACGACAGTTTCCATGCGGGGCCCCTGTGTTCGGTGTCTCGTGGGATGCTCATTTTTAGTGACCTCCTGGGTCAAGTTCATAGATCTTGACATGAATGAGATTGAACTGCAGTTTGGGTCCAGGAGGATGATAAATGAAAAAGACAAACATCAACAACAAAAATACATCCCAAATATCTCAGTTTCAGTGCTTACCAGGGCTCTTGACCTTGGTCAACAGTGTCTGTTATATTTCCCAGCCGTTGATGAACAGGGCTATCTAGAGCATCTTCAAAGTTGTGTTAGTGATTTTCTTGACTTTGGATGAGTGGAGAGTCAATGTTTTTTGCTCCTATCCTACAAGTTCTTTTTTAAGAGAGCAAAAGTGCCCTTATCAGTTCCAACAACTGCGGCTGACAAGTGTCTATTATTTTCTGGTATTTCCGCATTTTGCTGGACTAGAATATGTGTAATGCAGTGGCTAAGAGTGTTAGTTCTGGAATCTCACACATTGGGGTTCAAATCCTGACCCCCTACCACTAATTAGATGTACATTCTTTGGTAAGTTACCAAACCTCATTGGACTTCAGTTTCTTTCACTATCAAATAGGCACACTCGATAGTGTTGGTGTGAGGATTAACTAAGACAATGCACGTAAAGTATTTTAGCGGCTAAAGCATAGTAAATGCACTACAAACACTAGATGTTAGTATTTTAATCTATCAAGATTTGTCTGGAGTGTGTGCCTCATGGCATCCTACTTTTACGACAGTGAATCAGCGAACTTTCTTGTTGCTGGGGGTATGTAAGGACACAAAGTCAGGGGAGGGCTGCTCCTTCCAGCCCCCAGGGGACGGAGGGAAAGGGGGAGGGGGGGGAGAAGGGATCGCAGTAGGGCCGGTGAGGGTCCTGATTTCCCCCTCGGAGAGGACTGAAAGCTCTGTCTGCAGTCAGTAGGAGCAAAGCACAGGCACGGTCAGCTGTGCATGCCGGCAGGGCAGGCAGCAACCTAGGGACAGGGACCTCTTTCTGCAAACAAGGACTCCAAGGGAGAGAACACGACACTTCGCTGCCGTTGGGAAGTAGAATTAATCTTGCCCCTCTCCCTGTACCCCTGAAACCTCATCGAAAGAGAGAAGTATGGCATGGGGAGGATGTCTCAGAGATTTTTGCGTTAAATTTTTTTTTAAATACGTTTTTTAAAAAAAATTGATTTTAGAGAGAGAGAAACATCAATCTGCTGCCTCCTGCACGCCCTCTACTGGGGATTGAGTCTGCACCCCGGCATGTGCCCTGACCAGGAATTGAACCGGTGACTTCTCTCTTGGTGCATGGATGACACTCAACCAACTGAGCCATGCCAGCCAGGGCAGAAATTCTTGTTTTTAAATCTAAAGAGACTGAACATGCCCTGGCCGGTTTGGCTCAGCAGTTGGAGCGTTGGCCTGTGGACCAGAGAGTCCTGGGTTCGGTTCCTGCTAGGGGCACGTACCAAAATAGATAGATAGATAGATAGATAGATAGATAGACAGACAGACAGACAGACAGACAGAACATGTTTCTGAAGATGCTGCTCACATTATCCCAGTGCGTTAAACACTTTCCCCAGCCCGTAGATGCGTGTGTGGCAGGGGGCTCAGGACATCAATCATATTACTTGGAGACAAAATTAAGACTCTTATTTTCTCTCTGCACAGCTGAGTTTGCGGAGTGAGTACATTGTGTTTGACTCCACTATCATCATATTGTCGTTGTGACTTGGTGGAACTGTCCAGGTGACCAGAGCAACATTTCCAGGTTAACCCTGGAAAATATATTTCCAGAAGTTCCTAAGTGGAGTTTCTCGGCACGTGCTGTCTACCCTAGAGATCTGGTTGTTTCCAAAACAGTACTTCCAGCCAGAAAGGGAGGACTAGGAGATATTCCTGGTGGCTCAAGTACGGACTCGTACTGCCCAGCTAGCAGATCTGTGCGAGAGGGGTGGCTCTGGTCAGCTGCTGCAGGGCCGCTCGGACAGTCCAGGAGCAGATCGCTTCTCCCTCCATCTTGGTTCTGGCTTCTCTTGGTTCTAGTTTGTCACTCACACCACAGACATTCATCTACCGCTTTGCACCAAGCACTCTGCCAGATCAGTTCCTGTGGGTCGTGAAGACACAGAAACACACATTTCATCTCCGCGTCACCCAAACAGCTGTGAGGAAGGGATCGCTGGCCCCTGTTGCGGCAGCCAGAAGACACGCCCAGTTCTCTGCAGGGGCGTGGCCTTGATGGATGGCTCCGCTGCCGAGGCCCATCCCTGGAGCAGCGCTCAGCCAGCGATGGAGCACCGCCGAGAACCAGACTCTTCCACAGGTTCTCCATAAGCTCCACGGAACCTTTCCTGGAACTGCGCTGCAGTCTGGGACCCTCCCTCCCCAATTCTTCTTCCTTCCCCATTTTTTTTTTTATAGGCATCAGACCTACAATATAATCTGAATACTCTGTCCACCTTCTCTTCCTTCCTACCCCCTAAAATCTCTTGCAAGTCTTAAAGCCTGTGCTTTTTATCACGAAAAAACTTCTGTTTGTTTAAGTGCACTAGAATTCTGGAAATTGTCCCAGATTCTTCCTTCTCCTTCAGCTTCAATATTTGTCGTCAATATCCATGTGGTCCCCAGATCCATTTGGTTGTACTTGGAAAACATTTCTCTCAAATGGCCCCCAGTCTCAATTTCTATTCTTCGGTGCATCAGACTGACTGCAGTAGGGTTCTAACTAGTCTCTCGTTCCCAGTTCCATCCCTTTCCAGCAGAGCGTTTCTACGTTACTCGGGTTGTGTCCTTCATACAGTGAAAAGGCAATCCCCCCCCCCCCCCCAAGTCCCGCAGTGCTTTTCATTGCTCTGGATAAAGTCCACACTTCTTATCTTGGAACATAAAGCCGCTGGTCCTGTGCCCTTATTTTCCTATCTGGCTTCATCTTCCCATTCCCTGCTTTTCCAAAGGAGCCTTGAACTGCCTGACCCCCCACATACGCCACAGTCTTCTAGCTGCGACCCTTCTGCGTAAGCTGCGCCCTTTGCCTAGACTTCATCAGCTTCGTTCTTACCCTTCGAGACCGCCTCCTCCAGGAAGCGCTCCGGCTCTCTCAGCGGAGTTCAGCACTTACCCTGCGTGTTTTCGAAAGTGTCGGATATGCAGCACGAGGACAATCATTTGTGTCGAAAAGCATGACTTACCACGGAGGAATGTAATTACACTCTCATTTCTCTTTCCAGTGTCATCCCTGACCACTTCTTCCTCCTTGCATCCCGCCATCCTCCTGTTTCCTGAACCCACCATCCTCTTTGTCACCTTGTTCAGCAGATCTCTCCCTCTGTTTCCAAAATTCTTCTCCCTCCTACCCTAGCCTTTTGCTTGGATAACCACTTTGCATCTTTAAGACATAATTTTCATGTCTCCTCAGGAGCCTGTCCTGAACCCCAAGGCGCGGTGAAATGACCCTCCTGACACTCCCAGTGCACCTGTTGTTTCTCCTCATTGTAGCCCCTAATACACTGATCGAATTATCTGTTTGTCAGTTTCTCCCTCTGTGTGTCTGTCTGTCCGGCTATGCTCTAGCTATATGTGTTTTGAAGACAGGGTGTGAGTAATTCTTTTCTGTTTCCCTAGCTGCCAGCCTGTTAGCGCCTGGATGATAATAGCAGTTTAGGGCATGAACAAACCAGTGAGGAGCAGCCTAGTCTAGCTGACAGAGCTCAGTCTCACAAAGACCTCCTGACCTAGCCCTGGTTTTCCGTGCTGTCTGGCAGTCACTTTCTCTGATCTTCATTTCTTCCCCTGAAAATAGGGATGACCATCTTCCTCCTGGAACTGTTTTAGGGTTAACCAAGTTTTACGGTGCCCTGTGCATCGCTGGACACATAGTAAGCACTCAAAAGCAAAAACAAAAACAGCCAAGGAAATGTCAGTTTCTTTTTTCCTTCCTCCTAAGCAACATTGGTACTCTTTTGAAAGCAATTAAAAAAAATTTTTTTTAAATCCTCACCCGAGGATATTTTTCTATTTATCCTCAAAGTGGGAGGGAGAGAGAGAGAACATCGACATGAGAGGGACACATCGACTGGTTGCCTCCCACATGACCCCGACCAGGGCCAGGGACGAACTGCAACCAAGGTACGTGCCCTTGACTGGAATAGAATCTGAGACTCATTGATTCACCGGCCGATGCTCTACCACTGAGCCAAACAGACCAGAGCAACAATTCAACATTTGTAGTTCTTATTTGTTCGTGACTGGTTTCATTCTGCAAAACCATCATCAAGTTAAGCCAAGCCATCCTTTCGCTTTGATATTTGCCCCAAAGCTTTCCCTCCAGATCTGCCAGGTAACAAGGTCTGGACTCATGACTACAGTGCACCGCAGGGGGTCTTCTTGGGCTCCATTGAATAGTCACACGTACAAGACTGTTCCGGGCCACCGCGGCACCAGTCTGCTCTGGTGGAGATAGACCAGGGCCCCGCTCACCAGCAGGGCAGTGTCAGGCCCTCCCCTGTGCAGGGCTGTTGCTGCCCATCACACAGGTCCAGGGCAAAGAGGCAAGAGCCACCTTTGGCAAGGACGGGAGCTGCCCTAAAATAAAAGCTTCATGTCCCAAAGGAGCCGATTACTTTTGCAATAATTTCATAGACAAAGCTTCTGGGGTCAAGCCAAGGGACAGACAACATAGAAGAGTCACCACATTCAGGGAACTCCAAAGCGGGTACCTTCCTAAGATACTTACGTTTAACTGAAGGTCAAATTCTCCTGCAGAGAGAGAGAGGGTTTAACACTTGTCCCTTATTGACTCTTTCAGAAATAAGTCCGGACAGAACCAGCTTGCTCTCTGATCATGCTAGCTGACATGATCACATCTTAATGATAGCACCTCTGGCTGCTGAGAGCCTCAAACTTGGTATGTCCCGCTTTGGCTACGGTCGATGACTGCCCAACACTGGGTTTCCACCCCACCCCCTTTGGGGAACATTTAATTCAAATATCACATTCTAATTCTAATGGAGCATTTAATTCTTAGCACCACTCTATTTCAACGTGGTATTTCTAATAGTTCAACTTGAATGACTTTAAAGCAGTGATCTATTTTATAGATAGCCAACGGTAAAGATGTGTGATGATATACCCTTCTCTTTAATCAGTGCCTTGCTTGTTCCCCGTTTGCCTGTTTACCTGGTCCAGGTGTGCCTTTGTCGGTCCTTTTCTGTACAGAAAGCAACAGGCGGCAGCTCAGGGAATTCTTCCAGGCTTGTGTCCCAGTCACCTGTCTTTTATTTATTTATTTATTTATTTATTTATTTATTTATTTATTTATTTATTTATTTATTTATTTTTATCCTCACCCGAGGACATTTTTCCATTTTTTGCACAGATAGAGTGGGAGGGAGAGAGAAGAGAGAGAGAGCGAGAAACATCGACGTGAAAGGGACACATCGAGTGGCTGCCACCCGCACGACCAACCAGGGCCGGGGACAAACTGCAACCGAGGTACATGCCCTTAGCGGGAACCGAACCCGGGTCTCTCCGGACCGCAGGCCGATGCTCTAACCGCTGAGCCAAACCGGCCAGGGCCCCAGTCACCTGTCTTAAAGGACCTCATGAACGTACCCCCCTCTTCCAGACCTGGTCACCTTTATATCTTAGCTCCTTCTTGTCATCGATTCCTATTTGGATTCGGTGACAGGGCTGTGGGTGCTTTACTGTGATGCTGGCTTCGTCCCCTCCATGTGGGATCGCACCTTGGTTTCACCGAACAGCTAGAGAGGAGAAGAGATTCCCCACCCTTGCCCTCACTCATGGTCCCTAATATCATTAGTCAGGCACAGGGTGCCCTTTCCTCCCTGAGAAATTACAGAGAAATTGGGCAACGAGCGTCCTGTCGATGAGGCCAACAAAGCTGTAAGTCAAGCATCACTGTGTATGGGTGCCAGAGTGCTTTGACCGGCAGCTGAATGCCTCGGGATTAGCCCCGTGCGATCTAAGCATCAGCCAGATCTGTAAAGGAAGAATAACGTGGCTGGCATTCGTGGGTGGGCGGAGGGGGGTGGAGGGTAGAGGGAGGCATGGGGATCCCCCACACACCCCGGGTTTGCTGTGAGGAAAGCTGCCTTCGCGTGGGGCGGTGACAAGCCGTGCAGGACGGGAGCTCAGTCGTGCGGCTCTGGAGTCCTTGGAGTCTGCCCTACCTCCTCCCTCACTCTCAAGCTCACCCCGGCTGCTGCAACCAGGCACTTCCACCGAAAACAGGTGCGAGCGAGCGAAGAAGTAGTAATGCAAGCCTGGGGAAATTTGCATCTCAGTAAAAGCAGCTGGCTCTCAGACCACCAATGGCTCATTGGCCACACTGGGGCAAAGTAGAGAAGGACATGTCCTTCCCAGCTGGATGCTGGTGCCTCCTTGTGCATTTCAGCATTTGTCCTGTTCCCAGGTCGACGCCACATCCGTGGAGTCCTCCCTGAGTGAAGATGCACCACGTGTTCCTTCTCTTTGCTTCCATTGTCTCAGCAGCTTCCAATGCCATAGGACTTCTTGTGAATCTGTTGATTGTCATAATCAATGATAAGACTTGGGTCCAAAGCCATAGAATGTCTTCTTCTGATCGGATCCTGTTCAGCTTGGGTATCACCTGATTTCTCGTGCTGGGACTCTCCCTACTGCACATCATCTTCCTGGTCTCCCCAAATGTTGAACGGTCAGTCCGCTTATCCACTTTGTTCTGTCGGTTCGGATGTTTCTGGACGCGAGTAGTCTCTGGTTTGTGACCTTGCTCAACGTCTTGTACTGGGTGAAGATGGCTCGCTTCCTTTTCTTTTCTTTTTTATCTTTATTGTTGAATGTATTTCAGATGTTCCTCATTTTTCCCCCAGTGACCCCCTCCTCCCCACTCCCGCCCCCCTCCCGCCTTTCCCACACTGTTGTCTGTATCCATTGGTTATGCATATAAGTTCTTTGGTTTATTTCTTCTCACCCCCCAACCCCCTTCCCTTTGAGGTTTGTCAGTTTAGCAACCAATTTGTACTTCTTAATCCCTTCACCTTTTTCACCCATTCCCCCAACCCCCCTTCCATCTGGCAACCAACAAAATGTTCTCTATCTATGAGAATGTTTCTGTAACTTTCAATGCTCAGTTTTTCTCCTGCTGAAACGAAATCTCTCCCCAGAGACCCGCAGGCTGCTGCTGGGCTGTGTGCTGATTTCTGCCTCCACCACGCTTCCGTGTGTTGTGCTCAGTCCGAAGTTACCCACTCCCGAACTTGGGACTGGGGGAAATGGCACAGAATTTAACATCAGCAAGGGCGTCTTGTCTCTGCTGATCTCCTTGACCTTGAGCTCATTTGTCCAGTTCATCATTAACGTGACTTCTGCTTCCTTGTTAATGAACTCGTTGGGGAGACATATACAGAAGTTGCAGAGAAACTCCGGTGGCTTATGGAACCTCCAGACCGAAGCCCACGTGGGTGCGATGAAGCTGATGGTCTATTTCCTTCTCCTCTACATTCTCTGCTCAGTTGCTACCTTGATCCTTCATCTTTCTTCTTCTGTGAGGATGGATTTTGAAACCAGATCCGTGTGTATGGTCATCTCCACCTTTTACATCCCAGGACATTCTGTCCTCATCATCCTCACACATCCTACACTGAAAAGCAAAACAAAGCAGATTCTTTGTTTCAACAAACAGTGGAACATTGGCAGTCACTAGTGGCTGGGGTCACTTCATGGCTGGAAAGCAAGATTTTTCTCTGTTAGCAGTTTCCCCAGTGGTCTGAGGAATTCATTTTTGTAATTGCTGGGCTGACTTCTTAGGCCTTGGCATGCCTGTACTTCACTCCAGAGTGCAATTTTTTGGCTGATATTTTGAAATTAGGCTCTTTTTAAAAGAACTTGTTTGAGGTGTTACTTATCACATATTTTGAGTGGGCATTGCATTCCTGGATAATAGAAATCACCACCTTGTTTTATCGGCTACTGAGGTATAATGGGGAGCCCCCCCCAAATTAAGCAATGCATTGTAGTTCACATCTTTAGTGTAAGCCCTGACAGTTGTTTATCTTTTTTTGTAATAAAGTGGCTGACTAAAGCTTTATTTTTATTTTTTTAAATCTTTATTGTTGAATGTAAAATGTATTACAGATGTTCCACATTTTCCCTCCATTGACCCCCTCCTCCCCACTCCCGCCCCCCTCCTGCCTTTTCCCACACTATTGTCTGTGTCCATTGGTTATGCATATAAGTTCTTTGGTTTATTTCTTCCCACCACCCCCAACCCCTTTCCCTTTGAGGTTTGTCAGTCTAGCAATGAATTTGTACTTTTTAATCCCTTCACCTTTTTCACCCATTCCCCCAACCCCCCTCCCAACTGGCAACCAGCAAAATGTTCTCTGTATCTATGAGAATGTTTCTGTTCTACCTGTTCATTTTGTTTGTAGATTCCATTGTTGATAGATATGTATTCATTGCCATTTTGTTTGTTCATATTTTTTAGCTTTTTCTTCAAAAAGACCCTTCATCATTTCATATAATAACGGTTTGGTGGTGATGAACTCCTTTAACTTTTTCTTGTCTGGGAAAGTCTTTATATGGCCATCGATTCTAAATGACAGCTTTGCAGGATAGAGTAATCTTGGTTGTAGGTTCTTGCTTTTCATCACTCTGAATATTTCTTGCCACTCCCTTCTGGCCTGCAAAGTTTCTTTTGAGAAATCAGCTGACAGCCTAATGGGAACTCCCTTGTAGGTAACTAGCTGCCTTTCTCTTGCTGCTTTTAAGATTCTCTCTTTGTCTTGAACCTTTTGCATTTTGATGATGATGTGTCTTGGTGTGGGCCTCTTGGGGTTTATCTTGTTTGGGACTCTCTGTGCTTCCTGGACTTGTATGTCTGTTTCCTTCACCAAGTTAGGGAAGTTTTCTGCCATTATTGTTTCAAACAGGTTTTCGATTTCTTGTTCTCGCTCTTCTCCTTCTGGCACCCCCAAGATGCGAATGTTGGCACGTTTGAAGTTGTCCCAGAGGCTCCTTACACTATCCTCATTTTTGGGGATTTTTTTTTCTTTCTGCTGTTCTGATTGGGCACTTTTTGCTTCCTTATATTCCAAATTGATGGTTTGCTCCTTGGATTTACGTACTTTATTATTGAAGCTGTGTAAATTATTCTTTACTTCAGTTAATGCCTTCAATTCTAACTGTGCATCCATGATTTCTGACTGGTCCTTTTTTATGCTCTTGAGGCCCTCCCTAAGTTCACTGAGGTTCTCACTAAGTTCATTGAGCATCCTTATAAGCAGTATTTTCAACTCAGAATCTGTTAGGTTGCTTATCTCCATTCCGCTTAGTTATTTTCTTGGGGTTTTGTTCTGTTATTTCATCTGGGACCTGTTTCTTTGTCTCCTCATTTTGGCCGCCTCCCTGTGTTTGTTTCTGTGTATTACTTAACGAGAGGTATGGGGCTCGCTGAGACCAGATGCTGCTCGTTTGAAAGAATTTAGGAAAAACCTGTAGCAGGATCCAAGACAGGCCAATCCTATGGTTCAGCAAGTGGCAACAGCTTGGGTGGGCCTGAAAGTTGGGTGTGGTGGGGCCTCAGGGAGTCACCAGGGCAGGGCTACCAGTGTGAGCCAGGTTGCTGGAGTCCCAGATATGGCGACTGTCTGCTGCCCCAGGGAAGGGCTCACCAAAGGAACAAAGGCCTCTGGCAGCACGTTTGTCCCGGAGAAAGCCCCCTCTCCAGCCCTCGCTCCAATGCCAAACAGCTCAGTTCTTCCCTGTATGTCTCTGGTGCCTCTTGAGCTGCCTCCCCTCCAAGCTTAGAGGGAGAGAGTCCGATAAGTCCGTGCACGGGCCTTTAAGGAGCTGCCTGGGGCTCCAGCCACCTCAGCCTCCCTGAGCCTCAGTTCCCGCTGGTTTTTCCAGCCAGAAGTGATGGGGATTCTTTTCCTGGCACTGGTATCCTGAGCGGGGCACCTGGTGTGGGACAGGGACCCCTCAGTCCCCAGGGAGGACCTTCCTAGCTGAGGTGTCCTCCTGATTTTTTTCCGCCACACGTGGGTGTGGGACCAGCCCCTCTGCCCCTCCTACCAGTCTGGATGTGGCTGCTGCTTTAATTCTGTAGTTGTAGGACTTCCATTCAGCTTGATTTCAGGCGGTTTTGAATGATGGTTGTTCTGTAGTTTAGTTGTAACTTTGATGTGGTTGAGGGAGGACGCGATACCACGTTTACCTACCCCCCATCTTGACCGGAAGTCCCCCTAAAGCTTTTTTTCTTTTCCTTTTTTATTGAGATAACTTTGGTTATTGTCATTATGTAAGTTCCAGGTATACAATATTGTAATTCTCTGTCTGTATACACTGTAGAGTGCTCATACCAAACATCTAGTTACCATCTGTTACCCTATAATTGACCTGCTCTGCCCATTTCACCCTCCCCCACCCCCTTGCTCTCTGGCAACCACCACTCTGTTTTCTGTATCTCTGTGTTTGTTTTGTTTTGTCTGTTCATTTATTTTTTTGTTTTATATTCCACATATGAGCGAAATCATATCATTTTTGTACTTGTCTTCCATCTGACATATTTCATTTAGCATAATACCCTCAAGGTCCATCCATATTGTTGCAAATGGCAGTATTTCATCTTTTTAATGGCTGCGTAGTATTCCATTATATGTATTGCATCTTCTTTATGCATTCTTCTGCCAATGGACTTTTCGGTTGTTTTCATATCTTGGAAAACAGTATGAACATTCTTAAAAGAAATAAGAATAGAACTACCATATGATCCACCAATCCCTCTTCTGGGTATATATCTGAAGAATATAAAAGCAGTAATTTGAAAAGAAGTATACATCACTGTATTCACCGCAGCCTATGTACAACAGATGTGGAAACAGCCTGACTTAAGCTTTGATTTCAGTCATCCATTTCAGTGAACAAACACACTGCTCATCACACAACTAGACAAACAGCCAGGCTGCCTCCCCCATGGAGGGCCTTCGTTTTAGAGACCTTGGTTGATTTTAATAATGGGTCATTTGGGCCCTGTGCTTTCTTCTTTTCCCGCACTTTAAATTCCCACTCCTATATTTTATATTTGCCAATAAAGAATGACCCCTGGACACCCTGTGTCCTCAGCCCTCAGCCCCAATAAAAGCAGAACCATAGGCCCATGCTCTCTCCCTCCCTCCCTCCTTGTGGCTTTGCTGTGTGGCTTCAAGTGTGCCGTGTAATTTCCAGGTTCTGTAAGTAAAAAATTTATTATTTCAGAGTTCCCTGATGGTTATTGCTGAAGGTGTCCTGCGGTCACAATAGGAACCACGAGGGCCTGTTCAGCCACAGTATGGGTTATTGATGGGCTGAGACCAGCACACAACATTGTTAGGTACAATTTGGAGGTTTGACTGAGGTGTCTCGGGTACGGACTCAGCCCTGGGTGCCCGGGTCGACGTTCAACCTCCGAGCCACACCGGCTGGGCGTGAGGGTCATTTTAAGAGCCTGATGTGCCAGTTTTCGGGTGACACGGAATCTCACCAAGGGCATTTCAGGTACGTTTCCCAGTAATGCCCCTTTTTGTGAATCACAGCTGGAGAGGGACCTTCCAGTCTAGCCCCTGTTTTCTCCGAGAGGGCTGGGGAGGCGAGGAGCCTTCGGGGTCTGTTGGGAGTTTTTTCCAGGTTTTGTGTGCCCGCCTCCCATTCCTCCTGGGTGTGGGGAAAGATTTTGGGACGCTCCCTTGCTCAGGACAAGCGGGAAGCAATTATTTGAGAAAACTGCCCAAGGATGTGGGTAACTGGGCCACGGCTGGCTTTATTCCCTGGGAGAAAAGGGTGAAAGGAAACTGTGAGAATTTGCCTGGCATGGAAATCAACAAGAAAGTGAAAGGATTAATGGGGTTCGGGGAGGAGAGAGGGAGTGACGGGGAAGGACCATAGTGGGGGAGGGGCAGGTGCTGCATACCATCCTCCCCAAGCTGGGTGGGGTGGGTGTGGGGGCTGTCTCCTGGGGGAGTCCCAGCTGTGCCACCACGTCAGAACAGCTGGGCTGGGGCTGTGGGACATGTAGGGAAAAGACACCACTAACTCTGCCTCCGTCGGAAGGGGCAAGAGGCCCGGGAAATGACCCCATGTGTGTACAGCTTGCTTGCAAATGAGCTGCCTAAGCCCAGGTCCACCTTTGATTTGTTTGACAACATTTCTGACCTATTTTAAATACAGGGAAATCATTCGTCTCAATGTTGCTGCCCTCACAGTTGGGCAGTGACTGCAGAATGATGATCCGCATCTCGGGAGAAGAAATGATGATACTGCTCCATAAATCTATCTGTGCCTTCAGTGTATGTTTCTAAAGGCCTGGGTAATTAGTCTTCCATCTTTTTTCTTGCTTTCCAGAAGCTCTGGACTCACACAGAGCTGATCCCCTTTCTTTAGAAGCAGTGACTCAGTTCTTCCTGTGTCTGTATCCTGTGAATTATATTGGACTTCAGGTGCTCTCCTACTTTATTATTATCATTTCCTTTTCTTATTGACTTTAAAGAGAGGAAGGGAGAAGGCGAGGGATAGAAACATCGACAAGAGAGAACACCGATTGGCCGCCTGCTGCATGCCCCCCACTGGGGATCGGGCCCACGACCTGGGCATGTGCCCTGACTGGAAATCGAACCAGTGACCTCTTGGTGCATGGTCAATGCTCAACCACTGAGCCACACCGGCCAA